TCCATAGCTTCTAGGTTTTGTGTCATTCTTGGAAAGGCCTCCTGATTTGAATATTTTCATTTGAAATCCCCTCATATTTTCTTCTAGTACATTTACAATTTCCTTTTTGAATTTTTATTTATTTATTTATTTATTTATTTATTTATTTATTTATTTATTAGATTTTACTTATTTATTCATGAGAGACATACATAGAGAGATAGAGACACAGGCAGAGGGAGGAGAAGGAGGCTCCACACAAGGAGCCCAATGCGGGACCTGATCTGGGGACTCTGGGATCACGCCTGGAGTTGAAGGCAGACACTCAACTGCTGAGCTACCCAGGTATCCCTCCTTTTTGAATTTTTAAATCTTCTGTCCATCTGGAATTCATCTTGGTGTACATTGTGAGGTAGTGTATCCAGTTGTCCCTAAGCATTTATTGAATAGTCCACCACTTCCTGTCTACTTTGAAATGCTATCTTTAAAAAAACTGGCAAAACACACAAGACATAAAATTTACCATTTTAACCATTTTGAAGTATACAGTTCAGTAGTGTTAAGTTATTCACATTGTTGTGCAATGAATTTCTAGAACTTTTTTTAGAACTTTCTTATCTTGTAAAAGTGAAACTCTCATTGAACAACAACTGCCCATTGAAATGCTACCTTTTCATAATTTCCTGTCTTTGTCACTCCTTGCCTCGACCACTGTAACAGCTTTCTAACATTATCATAATTCCAATAGGTCATGCACACTATGCCTGATACATTTTCCTCATGCAAGCTCTGACCACAACACTCTCTTATTCAAAACCTTCAAAAGCCCTTCCCAATCCCTCAGTTGATATTAAGCCCCCATTCCACTCTTTTTCAGTGCCTATACCTTTTTCTTCCTGTCATGTCTCATGATTTGTAATTTTGATGATCTGTGTGATTTTTTAAAATATTTTATTTATTTATTAATGAGCAACACAGAGAGAGGCAGAGACATAGGCAGAGGGAGAAGTATGCTCCCTGTGAGGAGCCTGATGTGGGACTTGATCCCAGGGTCTTGGGATTACACTCTGAGCCAAAGGCAGATGCTCAACCACTGAGCCACCCAAGTGTCCCATGATCTGTGTGATTATGTGATTGTTGTCTATCTCCTTGCTAAACTTCAAGTTTCATTAAGAGCCAGGGCAATATGCTCACCACATATTCCTCGTGTTTCACATGCTCCTGGTCCACAGGAGGCAGTCAGTTCGTGTTTGTGGAAGAAAAGCTCCCCCTTTGCTTCTGGAATAAAGTACAAACCTCTGCAAGATTCGATTCTGACTTACCTTCTCTTGGCCCTCTGTCCTTCAAGGAAGTCGCACTGCTTGACCTGCTGCTCTTCCTGAAAGAGCTGCAGGGTTTCTAACGCTTGGTTCTGGTTTATACCATGCCTTGATTTTATATTTTTATTCGTGCTTCAAATTCTCCCTGTGCCTGAAGGCCATGCCTTCCTCTTTGATCCCCCACCAGCATTACTGCCTTGTGGAAATCCAATTCATCCTTCAAGATGAGGGCTGTCTCTGTCACTGGACTGTGAGTTCCTTGACAGCAGAGACAGGGTCTCCCTCATTTGTCCTTAGGGAGCAACACAGCTCCTGGTCTCTAGGAGGCACTCAGAGTGCCCACACTTTCATCTGCTCCCCAGGTGCAGATTAGGAGTTCCTTGCCAGTAGGTAGTGTGCATCTGGAAACCTTGCCTCCTGGCCCCCCAGAACAAGACTTAGAGCTGGCTTCAGGAAAATTCTGGTAGCCTAATGCATGTGTCTAGCTGTGTTGTATGAGAGGCAGGAACATGAAGTGGTGGAGCAGGGGCAGAGCATTCCCTGCCTTTCCCCAGCTGTGCCCTTGACATTCCCTCACTCCTGCGCTTTCTCTGGCAATAAACCGCGCCCATCCCCTCCTCACCTAAGCAGAGCCCTGGCTCTCCCTAGAGGATGCTCCCTGCCTCTACCTCCCTGCAAGCCCTTTGGAGAGGAGACTGCCCAGTTGGCCACAGTTCTGGCACCCTGGCACTGGGAAACAAGATTGTCACCTCCAAATTCCTGTTCTCCCTCCTCCACTGTGCCCTCTTGAGGGATGCCCAGTCCATTCCCTGCTACTACCTGCTTATCCTAGTGGCACTCCTGTCACCTCCACAATTATGAGGAAGTCCCTCCCTTTCACAGAGCACTGGCCCCAAGGGTGGCTGGCTCCTGGGGGCCCCAGAGCTCACAGAATTCAGGGGTAGCAAGCTGGGACCATGTGCTAGATCCAGCTTGCTAACGTATTTTGTTTGGCTGGAATCATGTTTTGTAAAGGCCCAGCAGGGGCAGGACCTTGAACCCCCCCAGACTTTTAGGGGCTAGGTTCTTGCCATCCTGCTGTTCTGCTTTAGATAAAAGTCCATTCCTAAGACCACCTCAGTTGCCCCTAGAACTGTCCAGATTCTGAAAGCCTACTGCCAATCACATCTTCCTTCCTTCCCCCTTCACTTCATGCCTCCTCCAATCCTGTTTTGTTCCCCACACACAGAGCTGCAGGCCCTCAATGCCACCCCATTATCCCAGGCTTCTGTTCTTCTCTTTGTTTTCCTACCCTTGCCATACTGATCCTCTGAGTACCCCCACATCTTCCTGTTGGAAGCCTTAGATGAATCTAACCAGCCATCTTCAGTGAGATCATCCTCAAAACAAAAGTGGGTTAATTTTTTGCTCTTCTACAAACTTCAAGGTTATTCCTCAGCCACTGGGCCAGTGGTACTAAGGATAAAGACACACTCCTCACCTGGTGTGGAAGGCCTCGTGTGCTCTGCCTCTTGCAAACTTCCCCTGCATGTCTCCTCACAAACTCCTCTCAGCCCTGTGACACTGCACATCGAACTTCTTAGCCATCACAGCCCCTTTTGGGAACCTGTACCTGCACAAGAGCTTTTCCCCTCACTCATTCTTTTGCTGGCTGAACTTAGTCTTATTTTTATTTTTATTTATTTTTATTTTTTAAGGATCTTGTTTATTTATTCATGAGACACACACACACACACACACACAGAGAGAGAGAGAGAGAGAGAGAGAGAGAGAGAGAGAGAGAGAGGCACAGACACAGGCAGAGGGAGAAGCAGGCTCCATGCAGGGAACCCGACATGGGACTTGATCCCGGATCTCCAGGATCATGCCCTGGGCTGAAGGTGGCACTAAACTGCTGAGCCACCTGGGCTGCCCAGTCTTATTTTTAAAACCCAATTGTTTCTAGGGGTAGATAGCTCTTTGTGTAAAGGCACAGAGTAAGGCCAGTGAAGATATACCACAAACAGATAAACAGCTGCTGCCTCTCCGGAGGGCCAGATGTGATCAGGATTGAGGGAGAGAGTTGGTCAAAGTGTACTTTGGCCTTATCTGTCAAGTTTCTACTTTTCACAAGGAGATCATATCATGTATTTATTACTTGTGAGATATAAAAACAAACAAATGAAGTAGTTCAAGAACAGGAAGCCTTCCCCAGATTTCCCAGGCAGATGGAGCTGTTTCCTTTTCTGGGATCAAACAGCACGTTCCCTGTGTTATGGGAAATGCTGTGTTTTATGGTAATTTGTTGGTGCCTTTTTCTTTCTAGAGGGGAGGCATCCTCAAAGGTAGAAACTTTATCTATGGGGATCCCTGGGTGGCTCAGCGGTTTGGCACCTGCCTTCAGCCCAGGGCGTGATCCTGGAGTTCCGGGATTGAGTCCCACATCGGGCTCCCTGCATGGAGCCTGCTTCTCCCTCTGCCTGTGTCTCTGCCTCTCTCTGTATCTCTCATGAATAAATAAATAAAATCTTTAAAAAAGAGTCTTTTATAGTTAAAAAAATAAACTTTATCTAATTCATGCTCCCAGTGCCTAGCAGAGTGCCTGGCCCAGAGCAGGTGTTCAGGGAGTGTGGAACCCAATGTATTGCCTCGGCCAGTGGGAAACATTTTGAAAACATTTGCTATGGGACAGGCATGACACTAGTCCTGAGAAATTGTTTAGTTTTACCATATCCAAGTGAGAATGTCTCTAGGAGTCTGAAATATAGGTAGAGGGGCCTCCTGGCTCTTGGGGTGTGTCAACATGGGGATGGGGCTGGCACCCCCAAGGTCGGGATCCAATTCAATGCTACTGTCTTGTCACATGGCGTGCTTCTGAAGCCACTGCCTCCTCTGCAGTTAATCTAAGAGCAAAGGCTATATTCGTAAATGCTGAAATCATCTCTAAGATGAAGAGGCCAGCCTAAAGGAACAGGTTGTCCCCATACAGCGTGGGCCAGGAGGCCCAGAGTTAGGAGGACACTCACACCAGCTGAGTGTCCCATGCTTGGAGGGAAGGGTTGAACAACCGTTGGAGGGAATTGAAGAAGGCACCCAGGATCCTACAGTGTTATCATGAGAGTCTGCTACTTTTGCAATTTTCCAGCGAGATCGGAGCTCCTATGGAGTGGGATGTTTAGTAGGTCCCATCTATTGCCAATAGGCAACAGGGCAAAGGAGTGGCCTTAAGGGGGTCAATTAGATTGGGGCCTAGAGAGTGGGTAGGGTGACCTTTAGAGTTGTAAAGTGGGTATCATGTGGTCAGGGCAACACTTTAGGCTTGCATGTGCAAGTGGCAAGGAGGCTGAAGAGGGTCTAAATGAGTCTCTCATCTGAGCCTGCCTCTGACTGGCCCCTGTATTCAACCTTGAAGAGGACAGTGTACATTCCTGAGGTCTCAGGGCAGTGAGGCTGGGTACTCAGGCTTCTGGAGAGATAAGGGCAGTGGCAGTGGCAGTGGCAGGAGGAATTCGGTGAGCAGCCCCCTCTGTGCCTCCCCCCTTCCTCCCACACTGTCCAGCTTCCTCCCAACTATCTACCCACAGCCCCACCATGGGCCTCAGAATTACTCAAAGTAATGCCAGACCACGCTACATACCTTTAGACCTCAAGGAAGAACACCTCCAGCTGGCCCATTACTTTTTAAGTAACTTTTATTTTTATTTACAACAGAATTGGTGGCTTTCTTCCTCCATCTTTAGTGGCAGTCAGCATCAGCAGCCAGATGGAAAGTCCGCAGTGAAGTCAAACTCATTCTGTCCCAGCCACAGCTCCGGAAGCTCATTGGCTCGGTCCAGTCCCAGTTCCACTACCAGGGACATCAGCACCTCTTCATCCACTGGGTCAGAGTCAATGATAGCAGGGCTCTGGGCACCAGTAGAAGGAGAGAGTGACCCCGCCCCTCCCACCTGAGCCCCAAAGCCCCAGTTTTGTAGGGGCCCTGCCTCCCCAGCTTGTCCCGGAGTGACGACAGCCATCCCATGATACTGGCTATTAAGTTTCTGCAGCTGCATACTGGCCAGCAGATGAGGGGCAGGGTGCAGGTTGAAGGGTGGGGGTTTAGTGGGAGGGGTGGCAGTAGGAGAGCTTATTGGAGATGGAGATCCCGAGGAACTAGTGGGAGCCCCACTGGCCTTGGTTCCGTTTGTGGCTACCCCGGGGTAGTGAAGGATGGCCACTGCTTTGCGATCTTTCATACCCATATTAGAGTAGGCCAAAGAGCTCATCTCTTGGTTGGCATCCTACAAGAAAGAGAAAAGGCATAGCTTTGTACCCCTGGCCCTGGTTTGTCCATCACCAGCCTCATCAGGCTCAGTGAGCCACTACACGCACTTCATTAGGGGGCTAGTGGTGAGGACAGAGCATGAAGGCCCCCCTGGAAAGTTAGGCTCCCAGCTTGAGTATCCTCTTGCTACCATGGTTCCAAGCACTGAGCTCAGATCCAAGTGCTCCGTGCTGGGCACTCGCCATCCTAAGTGGGTTGGTTGCTTTCATCTCTCTCTCCCTGACCCTTCCTTCATGTCACCATTCAGAAAAGGGCATCTCCTGGGCTTTCTTCTCAGCCTTCACAGCCATCTCATTAAAGGAGTGGCCCTGTGCCAGCTTGGGTTCTCTGTTCCCTTCTGTGCCATCTTTCAACACCCTGGTGCATTTGATTTGACCACATTTAGGCAGAATCTATTCTCATTCTTCCCAGAGAGAGTTCTGCTGTCTCTTTTCTGCTAAAGGATGCTAGATACTAGATAGGTACAGGAGGGCCTATCACAAGGCCCAGACCAGGCCACCTTTCCATGCCTGGGTATCTCCATCTGCAAGATGGCGGAAGTTACCTCCTTCGCAGGTGAGGTGCCACCCTTGACATCAAGTGCAGGCCTTGACATAGTTGGCATTTCAGAGCGTTGGCAGAGGTTGGATAAATTGGTGGGAGATGGTGCTGTCAGCTGGAGCTTTTGTGCTGTATGTGAGGGAAACGAGGTAATAAGGACAAAGGCTTTGTTGACTGAGAAAGCACTAGCAAAGCCCTGAGCAGGGCAACTCCACACAGCTCCAAGGCAAGGATGGTAACAGGTTTAGACCCAAGACCAGACACCACCTGAGCAGAGGGAGGAGATCAAGCTAGAACATTTGCCCGAGGCAGCAAAGGTGCTTGATTTTGCCAGGAGCCACACCCCCCCCCCCCAGCAGCAAGTTTCTCATATCACACCAAGAGGGGACACACGTGACTGTTTCCTCATGCAAGTGACTTCAGAGACCTCAAGTATGTGTGTGAGATGTGCTGTTTCTGATTCTGAGGGCAGGGATGTCCCCGAGCGAGTAGCACACTTTCTCAATGGGCCACCAGCAGGCACCCAGATTGGAGACCTGGGGGCCTCCCCTGGGATTGGGAGAAAGTAGGAAGGACCAATGGCAAGGAAGACCTGGGAAGCTCTGGATGCTTCTACTCAGGGAAGGAATGAGTCCCCAGAGCTAATGCTGTGGGGCTCCAGAGCCCTGCCTCAGGCATGGATGTGAGAGAAGTCTGGCCGATCAGGGTAGTCTGGAGGCACTAAGGCAGCCAGAGAGCAGCTAGCAGTGTCTCAATTTCCTCCACGCCTCCCAGACAACCCGGGCAGCACTGGACTTTCCCACGATATCGGCTCTGAGCCCAGCCACACCATCTGTAGTGACAGGTGGGCATGATTCTTCCTGGGGGGGAACCAAGGCACGGAGCTCCAATGGCTTTCCCATCAGTTGTTGTGGTTCTGGGAGCAGGATCTAGTACTCCTCTAGCCATAAATGTCACCTGGCCACTGGCCAAGTCATCACACCTGGAATGATTCAAACCATTCCTGAAGAAATGATCCCTAGCCCAAGTGCCAGAGAATAAAGGGATGAGGAGGAAAAGGAATGCCCCCAAGCCGGAAAACTAAAAATCTCTGAAAAAGCTCAACCTATTTTCCTAGAAGCTTGTTTTTTTCTTTTAAGCCCCCTATATTCTAGCCTTCATGATGAGTTGAAGATGTAGCATTGCATATTTAGAAATACCTCTTAGCCCAAAGATTCTTCAGGACCTTAAAAAGGATCTCTAATCTGTCCAGTAAGGTTTGAATTCTCCATGCCTCCCTCTTCCTAGTGGTCATTAGAAATCTGTTCAGACCCTTCTAGAAAGTCATTGCTTATTAACTCTATTATCGCCATTTATAGGGGAAGGAGGCAAGAAAAACAGAAAGGAAGAAGGGGATGGGGAGAAAACAGGAGAAAATCAGTTTCTGTGTTTGCCACTGCTGCTTGATTGGAGAGCCCTTGTCTTCTCTGAGGCAACCAGAGACTATTTCAAGCCAGTGATCATTAGACAAGGAGTCTAATCCATGTCATCTTTAGGAGCTCAGCACCTTTGGTATCAAGGATTCTCATGTTCAAAGAAAAATATCTGGGGTGGGGAGAGCTTGACCATCTCCCCCCTCTTCCTATTCAGCCTCCCTTGCTTCTGCCCTAGGACCCAAATGTGCAAAAGAAAAAACACCAGCATGAACAACAATAACAAAAAGAAACAGAGGAGAGGAAAAAGAAGTACAAAAAAAAGGGGGGGGAGAACAAGAAAAAAGTATCTCTGTTCTGATATCAGTTCCTGGGGAAGACCATTTTACCCTGTCTCCCCTTTCAGGCTGGGAGCTCCCCATAGGCGGGACCCTGTTTGCATTCCAATCTGAGGCCTCCCATCATCCCCACCTCTTCACCCGCCCTGACCCCTGGCCTGGGTCTGGGCTCTGTGGGCGCTCAGTAAGTGTCAGTAAATCCGTCTGAAGAGGCAATAGCATTTCGATCGGAATCCCCTGCACCCTCCGCCCCCCCACCCCCCGTCCCTGCTTCCCCGAGTCTCTGTCCCCACTCTGCCGCCCATCCCATTCGAAGGCAAAGCTTAGGAGCGTGGAAACGTCCCGGCCGGCTATCCAAGCTTTGAGCTGACCACTGTGCAACCGCTGCGAGAGGCGGCTGAACAACCCGGAGCAACAAGTGCCTCCGCGCCCGCTGGTGCCTCGTGGGCCCCAGCTACCAGTTCCCGGTCCCGCAGCCCTCCCTTCTCTACAGATCTTCACCTGGGCTGGCAGCCCCCTCCCTCCAAGATGGGGGTGGGGAGGGAAGAGGAAGAAGAGCGAAGGGAGAGGCAGGTAGGGGGGCCGCGTCTTTGACCTGTTGGGGGACCAAAAGTTAAAATGGCACCAACCGGATGGCTCCATCTCGATTGCTATTTTCTCACTCAGAAGGAGAAATTTAAAAATCCAAACAGTACTGCGGCTTGGCTTGGACGCGCTCTAACCAGACCAGTCAGTTTCGCCACCTGAAAACTAAAGGCCCATTGTTTGTGGACAGCTCGGCTGCCCTCCTTGCCGCATCCCAGGTGGATCTGCGGGAGTTGGGGGCAGCTGGGAGCATCCCTGCACGGTGGGCGAGAGCATCCAGGCCACCGGGGCCCTGAGCGTTCGCTCCCGCAAGTACTGTTATCAGGAACCGATCGTAGAGATTGGATGCGCAGGCGGAGAGGGACACTGGGTCTCGGCCTCTGCAGCGAGTTTGGGGCCCCGTGGTCTTTCCGCGCGCGGGGGTGCTCTCAGCGCCGGCGGCGGCCACTCCCGCACCTCACCAACACTTACTGAGCCTCCGCTGAGTTATCCGTTGCGGCCGCAGGCTGAGCCTATCCCCTAGCCAAAGTGCCTGTAGTCAGTGCTAGAAGCCCGCTACGTGAAGAGTGAGACAGGCTCGGAGAGGTTCGGTAACTTGCCCAACGTCACAGCGCTAGAAAGTGGCGGAGTCGGGATTCGCAGCCAGGTCTGTCTGACTCCAAGTCCAGCGAGGCAGAGACAGTGCGCGGCCCGGCCCCGCGGCCCTCATTTATAGGGAGAGGGGTGTGTGCGTGAGTGTGCGTGGGTGTGCGGGCGGGCGTGGGGGGGGGAGTAAAGGTCGGCTGGGCAGAAGAGGCAAGTTGCCCAAATTCGCTAACTTCCATCCCGCAATTCGCTGAACTCGGCCCCCAAAGCCCCTCTCATCTCCAGTCCGCGAAGGAAACCTGAGCTTCGTGCAGCCCCGGAGCCCAAGCGTCCAGATGCGGTCCGGGCGATTAGCAAAGTCGGTAGAAGCCAAGCTGGAGAAAGCGCGGGCACGGGGAGAAAAGGTGCTGCGGTCTCCCCGGGAGAAGCCGGTGTCTGGTCCCGCTGGCCGGCAGGCAGGCGCGCTGGCGAGCGAACTGGCTAGCTGGCGGGCGGGCTGCGGCCCCTCTGCCCCCAGCAGAACAGCTTTCAAACAGAAAACAAGTCCCCCAGAAACCCCTCCGGCCCGCCCGCCCGCCGCCCGCTCCCCACACCCGCTCGTCTGGAGTCCCTGGCCCCGCCGACCAACCCAGCGCCCTGCCCGATGGCCTGGCTTACCTCTGCGAAGCCGCCTGCCCTGGAGAGAGGGAAGCGTGGAGCCGGGTGAGCCGCGGGCGAAGCAGCGGAGCCCCCAGCCCCTGGCACGCACGCCGCCACCACCGCCGCGAGCCGGTCGCGCTCAGTGCCACCCGACCCCAGAGCGCCTGGGTAAAGCCCGCACCGCCGCTCCGCGCCGCCGCCGCACCGCGCAGTGCCGCACCAAGCAGCCCCGGCCCGCGCCCGTGCCCGCCCGCCCGCCCGCAGCTTCGGCGCCTGACTCCGGGGCGGTGGCGGTGGCGGTGGCTGCCGCCGCGCTCCCTTCCCGGCGCCAGGGTACCCGGTTCTCAAGCCCCCATTGCCGCCCGGAGAGCCTTGACGCACACGCACACGGCAGCAGGCTGGACTCGGCTAGGAATCCCAGGAAGGACAGACCCTTCCCCCCCTCCCCTTTTTCCCCTCTCCCCCCATTTTCCACGTCTTTATAACCGGCTTAGGGCATTATTAGCACATGTCCTGGCTCGTGGGCGAGTTGGTGGCAAAATCTGAACTGGATACTCACCGAGGGCCAGAGCGGGTGCTATGCCTTCCTGAGCCCTCTTCCTCCTCTCCGGGAACGACTCCTCGCAGGCGGGCTGCGGGCGGGCAGCCGGGCGGAGCGAGCCTCCTCTCCGCAGCTCAGCGGTGCCCCTTCTGCAGCTGTGCCGCTGGGAACATTTTATAGCGCTGCTGGCGTGTGTGGCCCTTTAAAGGCGCTCAAGCTGGTGCAGTCACCGCGGATCGTGTGAAAGCGAAGGGCCGGCTGGGGAACGGAGTCCGAGCGGCCCCGCGGGTCCGGCAGCGCCGGAGACCATCCGTGGTTCCCGGGGTGGAGCTGGCGGGCCCAGGCCGTGGGCACCCTGCGCCTTGAGCCCCAAGCCGACGCCTGCGCTCCTAAAGCTGTGGGGGGCCGGTGCCCGGGACCTGGTCTCTCCCCACCGCCCTGCATGGACTTGCCCAATAAATTCCACTTAGCAATTTCGCTGAAGCGAGGGAGAGCTGTTAGTGTCTATTTTCTGACCTAAATCTAGTGAGGTGGCCCGAGCGGGCTTCAGGGGGTTGCGGGGTGGGGGGTGGGGGTAGAGCTCTGGGCTCAGGGAATGGCCCGGGGAAGGGGGCGCACTCGGGACGGGGCGGGTGCCGGCGGGGCATGACTGGAGTTTTCTGCGGGGCTTTCTTGGACCCCTTTTGCCCCCTTTGGGCCGCACCATCTTGTGGAAGGGCTGAGGCTGGGAGTCCCTTTCCCCTTGAAGTCCCCAGATTCCGGGCAGAGCCTCATGGAGGGCCTATCCAGCAGCGGCGGCTTCCCTCGTAGGCTTGAGCAGGGGTTGGGGTCGAGGGATTCTCTCCTGTGGTCATCCCAGGCGGAAGGGGGCTGGCGGGATGCGACGCGGTGATATGCTGCCCACCCAGACCGTGGGGCCAGGTGCGGCTTAGGAGGCACGCGGAAAAGCCAAGAACTAGCAGCCGGGTCCGAAGAGCTTGCTCTGGAGTTCGAGGGGATTCCTTCTGAATTTCCATGATGCCAGGTTATGTTATTACGATTATATACCCATTCCCATCTAGCAGGTATAACATTTTGCATCTGGAGCATATATTTCTCAGGTTGGGATACTGTCTTACAGGGTTTCCTCTCCTTCATCTCAGTTCCTGTTCCTTGAGGCCAACAAGTTCCCATCTCACCTCCTACAGGAAGGACAACAGGATTATTTCTGTACCAAGCTCCATTTTTGGCCCCTTTAAGCAACTACTTATTTTACACGGTTTATAAAACATGCTCTTTTCAAAAAGTCCTGATGTTAAGAAAAAAAAAAAAAAAAGAGGTGAGGGAATGTCCTGAAGTCATTTTCACTATGTATGCGTTTTGTCTTCTTAATTGGATTCGAAGACCTAAAGGTCTTTTCTTTTTTCTTCTTTCATTTTTTTCTTTCTTCCTTACTTCCTCGCTCCCCCCACCCCCTTTTCCCTAAGCGCCCTGAATTTGCTCTTTGAACAAAGTTCTGTTTGCTGACGGACTAACCGGTTTACTGACATAAAGATGGGGAGCCAAGGGGGGCGGACAGATGGAGGCCTTTCCTTAACACCTGGAGGACGCTCAGGACGTGCTCCAGTCGCCAGCTAAAACCCTTCCCCAGCCCCAGAAGCTGCTTTGCGCGGGCCTCATTCCTTCCCCTCACCTCGCCTCAACACAAACCCCAGAAACAACTCTCCCCCCACACACACACCCCATTTCTCACTTTGCCCAGAGATCGTGAGCAGTGCCCAGTTTGCCTCTGATAAAAGGCGGGATCAGTCGGGACCCTAAAACCCTACAGAGTTTGCCTGTGAAATACACCCTCAAGCCATCTTGGTGTTTGTGTGAAGTGAGCGAACCTGGGCTTTCTGATTGTGTGTTGCTAATTTGGACCTCCGACCTGTCCTCCCCTTCCGCCCCCTCTAGGCAGCGGGTCTGGAAACGGCGGCAGAGGCTCGGCTGCCGGCTCCGGATCCGGGAGGTGTCGGATCCGCCCTCCATCTATTGGATGGCTCCCAGACCAATTGTTAGAAAGAGGCATATGTTCATCTCGGCTTCTGGAGTGTCTCCGGAGCAGTTGCTCAACAGCCAGCCCCCTCCCCCATCCGGACCATTGAAGGGCAGAAAAAGGAGCGCCCTCCGCCACAATTCTCTGTGCCCACGTGCGGAGAGGGTCTCCCGCTGGTGATTTCCTGTCATCTCCGCTGTCCATCTCCCGGGGGGGGGGCAGGAAAGGGGGGGGCTTCAAGCACTCAGTTGTGGAGCACAAAAGCCACCCCTCTCCTTTTAGGGGAGATGGGAGAGGAGTTGCTGATGCAGGGAGAGAGCAAAGGAGACATTTGAATCTAGCTGCACATTTGCTCCGGATCACAGACTTCCCAGTCGTCTCCAGCCTAGCTCAGAGCTCTCTGCTGAACTCTTATCTCCAACTTGGCAACAAGATTGGGAGCTCAGGAAGCAAGGAGAGGACAAGGATGGTTACCCCGCAAGAATCTTCTGTGTGCCAGCATTGGGCCTAGCATGTTCCCATCCATCATCTAATTTAATTCCCACGACAGTCCTTCGAGGTAGGGTTTACCAAAGGTGAAACGGCCTGGGAGGAGAAGGTGGCTGTCTAGACTGGTGGTCAAGAGTACACGTTCAGAGGGGTCAGTCTGCTTGGGTTTTTATTCCTACACTGCCATTTACTAGCTGTGTGATATCAGGCCAAGTGGCTTCATCCTTTGGGCCTTGGCTTTCTGGTCTGTTAAATGGGGATGATAATGATAGCAACTCTGTGGGTTTGTTGCAAGGATCCAGGGAAAAGCTTAGCCCGGTTGGTGCCTGCTGTGTAGTGAGCAGTCAACAAATACTGTTATTGTGCCTTGTGATTCTTTTCTTTTTTTAAATTATTTTTTTTAATTGGAGTTCAATTTGCCAACATATAGCATAACACCCAGTGCTCATCCCGCCAAGTGATTCTTTTCCTTTTGCCTCAAAGCCCTGTCTCAGCTCCTACACTTCAAGTTCAATAATACTGACTAATTTAGAAAACCAGGGTGAGAGGGGATGAAGGAGATCTAGAAACTCAGGAAGGGGAGGGAGAGGAAAATGCAGATTTGTTCTCAAAATCCCATCCTCCAGAACCAAGGGCTGTCCCTTGGTTGACCATATGACAGGAGTAAATTAGGGACCAATAAAAGATGACCACTTTTTACAGTACTGCCAGTAAACAGCTAGAGTGGTCTCCAGAAACATATACTCAGTATGTGTATAGATGATTTAAAAAGCACGTCTTTGTTCAAGAATGTTTGGAGCAGGGAAGCCCCAGTGGCTCAGTGGTTTAGCGCCTGCCTTCATCGGCCCTGGGAGTGATCCTGGAGTCCCATGTTGGGCTCCCTGCATAGAGACTGCTTCTCCCCCTCCCTCTGCCCCCCCCTCTCTCTGTCTCTCATGAATAAATAAATAATCTTAGAAAAAAGAATGTTTGGATCAGAATTGTTTTATAACAATGAAGAATAAAAAGCAATCAAATGTCTATGGGAAGGACATACCTTGTTACCTTGACACACCCACACCCCCCCATCCTGATTTCTAAAACTCTTTTATTCATGGGAAAATGTTCACAACAAAAAAATTTAAAAATACTGGGTACAAAGTTGCATAAATATATGATGCCACTGTTGCAAGGAGCACAAAGAGTAGAAAATTAAATACTATGTTTCCAACCATGTATGAATATGGGTGATGAAGCAATGGTCAGGAAAACACCAAACCAACAACAGGGTCAGTAGGGTGGTAGGATTATGAGTGATTTTTTTCTCTTTTTTCCATGTTATGCAATATGTTTTTTTTCTTATAATTAAATATAAATTTATGGTTAATGAACTGCATATATGGTATGCTCCCACTTTTGTTAAAGTTATATGTGCATAAAAATTTGGAAGTAAGTACACCAAAATGTTAACAGTAATTATAATTGAGTGATGGAATTACGGGTGATAGTTTTCTTTTTTCCTTTTTAAAATTTTTCTGCCATGCGATTATGTTATTTTCTTGCAAATAAAACAGATTTATAATTTGAAAAGTGCATGATTAGGATGATCCCACTTGTGTTAAAAGTATATATGTTAGTTGAAAAAGATGGGGAGGAGGGATGCCTGGGTGGCTCAGTGGTTGAACATCTGCCTTTGGCTCAGATCGTGATCCTGGGGTCCTGGGATCGAGATTCTGGGGTCCTGGGATCTAGTCCCTGCAGAGGGCCTGCTTCTCCTTCTGCCTATGTCTCTGCCTCTCTGTCTCTCTCTCATGAATAAATAAATGA